TGAAGGCGTGAACCTGAGGCACAATAATTGTACACACATTTCACAGGGTTCAGACAAAGAACGGGGCTTACAGTATTTTGATTGGGTAGTCTTTGGTTGAGATCACAAAAAGGGTGCGTTAGGAGGGGGGAATGGGCTTCTATTGGGTACGTGTATACAAATGGACTACATGATTGGTTACAGGGCTTATTTATAAAAATTGAAGACAGTATGGATATTACAAATCATAGTCACAGAATGCTTACTATACACATTCCCAGAGTAAGTTGTAAAAGTGTCTCATTTGAAGTAGAAAACTCTTTGGGGCAGTCTTTTTTGATATAAAACATTTCTGGGAGATAACTAATGCCAGGCCTCATTGACATCAGGACCCGTCTCCTTAAACCCTGTCTGTTTAAATGAAACCTTTCTGGTTGCCTGGGAACTTCAGGTAAGGCTGTGTCCAGGTCATAAATGTATTTACTTCAAAGCCTCTTCTTTGAGTGTATTTTTTTTATCCTGCCTTTACTTGAGAGAGAAACATTCCCTTAATTCCTGTGGCTGCTGGCAATCTAGGACCCAGAGAGGAGGAGCCTATGAAAAGTAGCCCTGCTGAGAGTAGCTGGGCAAATGAAGAGTCCTGCACAGGCATGTTAAAAGGACCATTTAATTTAGCAAAAAATGAGTTTAATTCGATCATTTAGTCTTGGTCAAAAAAGGCTTCATGAACTTCCCCTTCACAGTAGTAAAATATACACAACATATAATTTGCCATTTGAACCATTTTATAACCTTTCACACAGATTCAAACACTGTTGCTTATTAAGGAAATGTTTTCTTTGTGGTCAGGACCTGTAACCAAACCTTATCAAGACTCTTTTGTGTTAGATCTCCCCAGGAAATCTTATGCTCTAAGCAAGATAATGTTTTAACAACCTGTTCCCAACAGCATCCATTGTGCCATTCTCCTGCTATTGTTTTGTGATGGTCATGAGACGCCCCTCTGTAACCAAATACCCATTATGGTCAACTCATAGCAATGCTGTAGGACAGAGTAGAACTGCTCCATAGGGTTTCCAAGGAGCATCTGGTGGATTCAGACTGCCGACCTTTTCGTTAGCAGCTGAGCTCTTAACCACCACGCCACCAGGGACCAAATACCTTGTAATTACATCTTTTAGCCAGTCAATATATTCCAGCTGTATTACTGTAATCAATAATTAAAAAATTAGCTTTGCAGAGACTCAAAAAGAGACTAGTACACCAGTGTTCATTGCAGCACTATTCACAGTAGCCAAAAGGTGGGAATAACCTCAATGCCCATCAGCAGATGAATGGGTAAGCAAACTGTGGTACATACGTACAATGGAATACTATTCAGTCAGTAGGAGGAATGAAGTCTTGATACATGCCACAGTATGAATGGAGCTTGAAGACATTATGCTGAGTGAAATAAGCCAATCACAAAAGGACAAATATGAGCTCACTTACATAAAAATACAAGAAAAGGCAAATGTATAGACACCAAAGTTTATTAGTGGTTACTAGGGGCAGGAGGGAGGGGGAGAAGGGATTAATGGTGATGGAAAAATCGCATTGATTGAGGATAGGGTTGCACAGCTGTTTATTGTAAGTGCTGTCAATAAGTTGTGCACCTGTAAAAAGTTGAATTGGCAAAAGTTACGTGATTGATATATTTACAACAACGACAAAAAAAAAAGAAAAGTGTAGCTACTGAGGCAGCTTATGTATAACCAAACACCTCATGGGATTTGGTTCCTTTATTTGGAGGTTTAGCATCATGGTTTCACGGGATATCCCAGTTAATTGTCCTAATAATGTATTTAGTGCTTCTGTTCTACCTCTAGCTCGTTGCATAGTGCCTGAGGTCTTAAAAGCTTGCGAGCAGCTATCCAAGGCACAGTAGTTGGTCTCTATTCACCTAGAAGAACAGAGGAAGAAGGAAAGTCAGGAATAGGAGGAGGATATGGAATGTGTGGCTAATTGCCTTCATGAACAACTGCCTCATTTTCCATGAGACCAGAAGAACTGGATGCAGCCTGGCTACCATTACTGACATTTTGATCAAAGATTCCATAGAATAATCCTGATCAAAAGGGGAAAATGCAGAACAGAATTTCAAACTATCATAGACTCTAGACTTTCTGGAGCCATGGAGGGTGGATGAACCCCTGAAACTATTGCCCTGAGATAACCTTTGAACCTTGAACCAAAAGTGTCCCCTGAAGTCTTCTTAAAACTGAACAATAGTTTAGCTTAATGTAAAAAAGGACTGCCTTGAGCATTATGCTCTTTTAAGAACTGTCTGTATGGGATCAAATTGACAACAGCAACTCAAAAGTTTGAATGGAATCTTAGGGGGCAGTGAATTTATGTTAATGAGGGAGGAACAGCTTAGGAAAGGGGAGTGAGAATGGTTGCACAACTCACAGAATTTAACAATGTCATTAAATGGTAATTAGTGGTTACCAGGGACTTGGGTAAGGAGAGAATGGGAAGTACAAATGGTACCTGTAGAAACTGCTGAATTGGTGTATGTTTTGCTTTGTATATTCTCAACAACAAAATAAAATTTAAAGAAAAAAGATAGGTAGAAAATTACATTTTGGAAGAAAGAACAATGATTGCAATCTTTGGTGAAAATCACCAATTTGTGAAATAAAGTAAAAAAAAAATTTTTTTCAAAAAAAAATCACACTTTGCTTTATGCCACCTTTTATTGACCTCAGTCACTGTAAACTAATCAGAATATTGTACTTTGTAGTTCCTTCTATGGCGCTATCACTATGTGTGATTTGCACCCTGTCGTCGTCATCTAGTGCTGCTTTAACAAGTACCACAAGTAGATGGCTTTAACAAAGAGAAATGTATTCTCTTAAGCTGTCTAGTAGGCTACAAGTCCAAATTCAGGGAGTCAGCTCCGGGAGAAGGCTTTCTCTCTCTGTCAGCTCTGGAGGAAGGTCCTTGTCATCAATCTTCGATTGGTCTAGGAGCTTCTTCGAGCAGGAACCTCAGCTCCACAGGACACTCTCTGCTCCTGGCATTGCTTCCTTCATGGTATGAGGTCCCCATGTCTCTCTGCTTGCTTCTCTCTTTTATATCTCAAAAGTGATTGGCTTAAGACACTATATAATCTTATAGATCTCTTCAACATAACTGCCACTAATCCATTTCATTACATCATAGTGATAGGATTTACAACACATAGGGAAATCATATCAGATGACAAAATGGTAGACAGTCATACAATATGGGGAATCATGACCTAGCTAAGTTGACAGGTATTTTTCAGGGACACAATTCAATCAATTACACACCCCTTTCCTTGAATTCATGAGCTTCAGACTCTGAGGTTTTCACAGTTTCCCCACTGGAATGGTATTTTGGCATCAGTAAATCTCTTTGATTTTACTTTGAGTTTAACAATCTTTTCTCTACAATACGAACATCTTAAACGTACAAGCCATAGTTACGAACCAACCCCTGTAAAGCCTATTATATTGAAAATTTGAGGTACATAAAATGGTTCGTAATAACAAATGGGTGCTACTTTGCAAGGTGCATCAAAACATTATTATTATGTTAAAGATTTTTTAGTGTATCTGGAAGTGTTTAATGTTTTTATGCATAGAAATGTACACTATATACTAAGACGGACATTTAACTAACCAATGTCAGTTACCTAACCTTTCTGACTTACGTACAAATTCAACTTAAAGACAGATTTAGGAACGGAACCTATTCATAATCTGCAGACTGCCTGTACCACGTTTTGTTTATTTATCCATTCATCTATTGATGGGCACTTGGGTTGTTTTCACCTTTTGGCTATTGTGAATAATGCTACAGTGAACGTGAGAGGAGGGGTACAAGTATCTGTTCGAGTCTCTGCTTTCGATTCTTTGGCTATATACCCAGGAGTAGAATTGCTGTGGTAATTCTTTATTTGAGGAACTGCCATACTGTTTTATACTGTGGCTACACCATTTTATATTCCCACCAGCAGTAGTCAAAAGTTCCAGTTTTTCTGCATCCTCACCAAAACTTATTTTTCGTTTATTTTAATAGTAGCCATTCTAGTGGGAGTGAAGTGGTATCTCATTGTAGTTTTGATTTACATTTCCCTAATGACTAATGAGGAGCCCTGGTGGAGCAGTAGTTAAGAACTACGGCTGCTATCCAAAAGGTTGGCAGTTCAAATCCACCAGCTGCTCCTTGGAAGCCCGACAGGGCAATTCTGCCCTGTGCTATAGGGTCACTATGAGTCAGAATCAACTCGATGGCCACAGGTGTGGGTTTTTTGTTTTTTTTTAATGATTAATGATGTTGAGCATCTTTTCATGTGCTTATTGGCAATTCGTATGTCTTCTTTGGTGAACTGTCTGTTCAGATCCTTTGCCCATTTTTTGATTGGGTTGTTTGTCTTTTTGAATTTTAGGGGTTCTTTATGTATTCAGGATATTAAACTCTTATCAGATACATGATTTCCAAATATTTTCTCTCATTCTGTTGGTTGTCTTTTCACTTTCTTGATAAAGTCCTTTCATGCAAAAAAGTTTTTTATTTTGATGAAATGCAATTTTCTATTTCTTCTTGGCTTATGCAAGAAAAATACAAGATCCTAAAGATTTATTCCTATATTTTCTTCTAAGAGTTTTATGGTTTTAGCTCTTATATTTAGGTCATTGATCTATTTCAAGTTAATTTTCGTATATGGTGTGAGGTAGGAGTATTGAAATCTTTTTGAGTGCCCAAAAGCATAGCAGCAGTGATCCCCATTTCACAGATTAAAAAATGGAGACCAGAAAGCTTGAATCATTTGTCAGGATATTAGCAGCAGAGCTGGGGCTAGGGGTGCTGCTTTTGGAAGGCATTTAGTAAGTATTCCTTGACTTGGTTGAAAATACTGAATAAAGACATATTATTGGGTTGGGGTCAAATTCCAGGACAACTTGCTGTCAAGGCCACTAATGGCACTCTCCTGTTCCCCCCACTCCTAGGCACCCCTTATATACCATGGCCCTCGTGTCTGCTGACTCCCGTATTGCAGAACTTCTCACAGAGCTCCATCAGTTGATCAAGCAAACCCAGGTAAAAATCACAACCCTCCATTCCTGCTCAGCCGTGGAGGGAGTGAGAGATGGGGATTGTGTTAAGAGAGATTGGACGTGTAGAAACTGAGATGATATAATGAAGGTGAGAGGAAGGGAATTTGGGGTATGACTGACATTCCTGATGGACTTCCTGTCATATGCAGGATTTCATGATTCTTTGAAGCGTACAGTTCAGTGATTTTTAGTATATACACAGAGTTGTTCAACCATCATCACTGTCAATTTTAGAACGTTTTTATCACTTAGCAAAAAAGCCTCATACCCAGTACCAGTCACTCCCTTTTTCCTTCCAGCCTCCCCCAGCCATAGGCAGCCATTAATTTACTTTCTGTCTCTATGGATTTGCATATTCTGAACATTTCTTAGAAATGGAATCATACCATACGTGGTCTTTTATGACCGGCTTCTTCCACCTAGCATAATGTTTTCAAAGTTCATCTATGTTGTAGCATGTATTGGTGCTTCATTTCTTTTTTTTTTTTAATAACTCCCAATTCTCTCCTCCCCCAAGTCCCTGGTAACCACTGGTCTACTTTCTGCCTTTATGCCTTTGGTTATCCTAGATATTTCATAAGGAGCCCTGGTGGCACAGTGGTTAAAGTGCTCTGCTGCCAACTGAAAGGTCAGCGGTTTGAACCCACTGCTGCTCCAGTGGAGAAAGACGTGGCAGTCTGCTTCCATAAAGACTACAGCCTTGGAAACCCTCTGGGGCAGTTCTGTTCTGTCCTATAGTGTCTCTATGAGTCGAAATTGACTCAGTGGTAGTCGACTCGATGGTAGATATTTCATATAAATGGGATCACACGATATTTGTCCTTTGGTGTCTGGCTTATTGCCCTTATGTAGCAGTTTTTGGGCGGCGAAATGAACAAAAAAGACAGACACACACAAAGACAAACAAGACTGCAGCCCTGAGGACTTGCAGTAGTTTATTTTTAAGGTCTCCGCATGGGCATTATTCCAAATATCTGGTAAGTTGTTTTTCTCCTTCAAAGCACATCAAGACTTTTGTAAATATCCGAACTTATCTTTTAAGGCTCACAGATCAGCAAGTTCTCAGAGACTCGGTGCTCCCTCCCGTTTGCAGGTGGGAACGGCACGTCTGCGTGCAGGACGTGCAGTCCGAATCCCGGAGACCTTGAAATCAGCCCGGGAGTGTCCGCGTGCAGATCATTCCCAGGCTGATTATTTCCCACACCCTTAGCCACTTCATTTCATTTTTTGGTGAATAATATTCCATTGTATGATATTGTGAGAATCCCCAAGATGACCCTCAGGTTCAGTGATTTGATAGAAGGACTCACAGAACTCAGAACAGCTATTATACTCACGGTTACAGTTTATTACAGTGAAAGGATATAGATTAAAATTAGCAAAGGCAAAAAGGCTGCATAGGGCATAGGCCAGGAGAAACCACGCACCGGCTTGGTCATCCTCTCCCAAAGGAGTTGTACAGACAGCTCTTAATTCTCCCAACAATGATGTATGATAACACATATGGAATATTGCCAACCAGGGAAGCTCACCTGAGCTTTGGCATCCAGGGTTTTTATTGGGGTCAGTCATGTAGTCATGGACCACCTGCATGCCTGACCTTAGTCTCCAGCTTCTCCAGAGGTCACACTGTTATCATAAACTGTCTAGTGGGACCAAGGCCCCAGGTAAACCAAGACACTCTTATCAGGCAGGATATTCCAAGGGCTTAGAGGTTTTCTCCCAGGAGCAGGGGAGAGGCCAGACCTTTCTTTGGAATGTGCAGGGTGTGAACAGCCCAGGGTTTCAGAGTTAATCTTTTACTGCATAGGCCACTCCCCTGGCCCTTGGCCTAGGCTCTCTTATAGCGAAACGGTCATATTTGTCTGAGCATATATATTTAGTATAGCACAATAGATACAGAAATAGTATTATTTGGAAGAGTCAGTGTGGGGTAGAGATTCAGTTAAAGAGACAATCTGTTCTATAAAGCCATGACATGTATTTTCATATTTTTGTAGTAATTTGATTACTCATTTCTCCCTTGATCTATTGCTCTTCTTGTGCAGAACTGTTTAGCATAGAAATTAGCTGATGTTTAGCTAAGTTCAGTTCTTCGTCAGGCCAGTCATTTTTTATCAGTACTGCATCCGGAAGAGGCTTTGACTCAGTCTTCCAATACATTTGATCATCATCATCAATATTATCATATGACTTATTTACATAAGGTAGTTGAATCTCACCAACAATGCCAGTGTTATACTCTATCACAGTATGGTTGTGGTATAATTCAGTTTCATTACAGAACAAATCAGAATTACAGAAGTATTTGCTGTGCCTTCCCAACAAAATTGGCCCTTGCCCATTTGACAGATATTATTATGGTCAGGGAGCCCTGGTGGTGCAGTGGTTAAGAGCTTGGCTGCTGACTAGAAGGTCAGTAGTTCAAATCCACCAGCCACTCCTTGGAAACCCAGTGGGACAGTTCTACTCTGTCCTATAGGGTCGCTGTGAGTCAGAATTGAGTCGACGGCAAAGGGTTTGGTTTGGTATTACGGATAGGTATTATTATAATTAGCCATGATTTAGTTATTCCTGGGGTTCAAGTCAGCTGGGGACAAAGCCAGTCACTCTGTCTCAGTTCACAGGCTTGTACTGACATTGGTTTCCATTGTGTGCTGTTACATAGCAGGGCCCATCTTCCTTGTACAGGGAGGACACAGGTGATACTCGCTAGAGTTCCTATCCCTGCCAGTGGTATTACCAGATATGTCTTATTGTGATTTATTCTTGGGGCAAGGGCAGTCATAATGCATTGATGTAAATTACACGTGCCCCCAGAGAACTTCCATGGGTTTACAGGTCCATAACATTCCCATAGGTGTCCTCCTTGTGCTTCAGAGCTAGGATGCAGGGCCATGGCTCATGGCTACTTTGGCCTCCATCTGTAATAAAATAGTCCTGAGGCCCTGTTGGGCCAGAGTACAGGCCCTTCCCAACGCTAGGATCTAGTGTCATCTGGCATTATTTGCTGAGTTTGCCTGATCCACTGCACCAAAGCCTCAGCGTCTTTCAAGGCTGACTCTCATCCCTTTTCTGCCTAGTAGAAGAGAACTCCCTCTAATCTATATCACAGTATGGTTGTGGTATAATTCAGTTTCATTAGAGAACAAATCAGAATTACAGAAGTATTTGCTACGTTTTCCCAACAAAATTGGCCCTTGCCGATATGACATATTATTATGGACAGGGAGCCCTGGTGATGCAGTGGTTAAGAGGTTGGCTGCTAACTAGAAGGTCGGCAGTTCGAATCCACCAGCCACTCCTTGGCAACCCAATGGAGCAGTTCTACTATGTCCTATAGGGTCGCTATGAGTCAGAATTGACTCGACAGCAATGGGTTTGGTTTAGTTAATGAATCTTTTTCCTCATTAAAAGTTGTTATAGATTAAATTGTGTCCCCCGAAAATATGCGTTGTAAATCCAAACGCCTATATCTGTGGTTATAATCCCATTTGGGAATGGGTTGTCTTTGCTATGTTAATGAGACAGGATTAGTATAGGGTGTGTCTTAAGTAAGGAGCCCCCGTGAGATATAAAAGAGATTTAACAAGCAAGCGAGAGAAGCTGAGAAGGGGGAAGAGAGATGCCAAGCCACAGGAGTAGAAGCTCAGAAGAGACAAGGACCTTCCTCCAGAGCCAACAGAGAGAGAAAGCCTTCCCCTAGAGCTGGTGCTCTGAATTCGGACTTCTAGCCTCCTAGAGTGTAGGAAAATAACTTTCTATTTGTTAAAGCCCCACTTTTGGTATTTCTGTTATAGCAGCACTAGATAACTAAGACAAAAGTGAATTCAGTTTGTCCCAGGATGCCTAGACTGGCACCTGTCTCCCCTAAAGCCCTTTTTCCCGTCTTGTGGGCTAGTGGTGTTCAATCCACCGTGCATGTTGTTGCCATTGTGTACTAATGGCCTGAGTACAGTTAGGATACATTTTTTGGTACCTAAAAGTGTTGGGTCCCCCATACTAGGGTTAGATGATTGGCAGTCACACCTAGATGTAATTTAGTTTGAATATGCCAAAAGACCTCCCATAGCCTACCTAGTTCAGGGTAGGCCTGTTCCCCAGGGGAGATCACACCTACCATATGATGGCTACTGCTTTAGTCACATCAAAAACCCGTTTTTTTTTTTTTTTCCTATTCTGTTTAATAACTTTCCATTCACAAAAACAGGGTGATGTATATTTGTGCATGGCACACAAGTCCAATGGCCCAGTAGGGAGCAGTTCCTGGAAATTCCTTCCCAAATGAAATCCTTCATAGTGCATACAACCTGATAAGTAAGAGTCAGAAGGTACTAGCACTTTACTAGAATTTCATTCAACCATCAACAATTGGACCATGTCATCATCATATCTTAATATGACTAAAATGTGTGCTAGAGTAATGCCACTTACGTTTGTGGGCTTCTATTCAACCTTTGCAAAAGCAGGAGCAGTCTCAGCAAACGTACGGCTTCATCTTTTCAGGCACCTGGTATAATTGTGCTAAAAAACCAATATCATTCTCTTTGTTCTAAGCTTCTCTCGAGGCACCAGTGTAATATTGGATTTCCCTCATTGTATAACCCGTTTATTTATGTCTTTACCCTCAGCTACTATTTCTCTTTCTCTCTATTTGCCATTGATTTTTACCCAAACTTCTCCACTTTTGGAAGGGATGTTAGATCTGACCATTGTGTTGGTCCAGAATGTTGGCAGTAATACTAGTCTAGCGTGAGCCTCCCCTTCAGTTCACTCCGTTCATATAGGGTAGGGTTACATAGGTACCAAACTAGTGGGCCATTCCTGCCACTAGGCAATACAGCTGCATTCACTGTCAACCCCAGTTTTGCCAGATGGGGTGAATCCACTCCATCAAACCCTTAGGAATTCTGGCATAAAAGTTTAAAGGTATAGTTACAATTTCTTGCTCAGGGACTATTATAGATTGAATTGAATCCCCCCAAAAATGGATATTCCCATGGTTCCCAGTATTGTGTGGTTGTCTACCATTTTGTGATCTGATGTGATGACCGTAAGTGTTGTAAACCCTAACCTCTATGATGTTAATGAGGCAGGATTACAGGCAGTTATGTTAATGAGTCAAGACTCAATCTACAGGATTAGGTTGTATCTTGAGTCAATCTTTTCTGAGATATAAAGAGAGAATCCAGCAAAGAGGAGAGGGACCTCATACCACCAAGAAAGAAGAGCCAGGAGTGGAGTGCATCCTTTGGACTGGGGTCTCTGCATTGAGAAGCTCCTAGCCCAGGGGAAGACTGATGACAAGGACCTTCCCCCAGAACTGACAGAAAGAGAAAGCCTTCCCCTGGAGCTGGTGCCCTGAATTCAGACTTCTAGCCTCCTAAACTATGAGAGAATAAACTTCCCGTTTGTTAAAGCCGTCCACTTGTGGTATTTCTGTTACAGCAGCACTAGATAACTTAAGACAGGGACCATCCCTGCTTCTAGCACCCATAGTTGCAGCCTTGATCCAGGGACTACTGCATCAGATAGGAAAAAAGAAAATTGAGGTGATGTGGGGAAGACTTGTACAGCATCCTCTCTCATTCTTTCTTCCCCAAACAATTGCCCATAAATGTATGTATAGGTTAATTTCTGGACTCTCAATTCTATTCCATTGGTCTCTATGTCTGCCCATATGCCAGTACCATACTGTTTTGATTACTATAGCTGTGTCGTAAGGTTTGAAATCAGGAAGTGTTGCGTTCCCCCAAATTTATTTTTCTGTTTCAAGATTGTTTTGACTATTCTGGGTACCTTGAATTTCCATGTGAATTTTAGACTCATCTGGCCAGTTTCTGCAGTGAAGTCAGTTGGAATTTTGATGGAGAGTGCATTGAATCTGTTGATAAATTTGTCTTTTCTTAATAACAGAGAGTCTGTTTATGGTTTAACTTTAGTTCCCTTTGCAGTGCTTTTGTATTAATCAGGAAAAAATCCTTTGAACTCATCCTGACTGTGGATTTAGGAAATGAGGGCCATATTTATGAGGCCTCTAGCCTGCGATGCAAGTGCCACAGAAGGATGAAGGGCCTCCCTCATGTCCTGTGGTTCTTATCTTCACAGGAAGAGCGTTCCCGGAGTGAACACAACTTGGTAAACATCCAGAAGACCCATGAGCGGATGCAGACAGAAAACAAGAGTGAGTAGCTGGGCTCTGGAGAGAAAGGACATACGAGAGGGTGTGGGCTGAGACCGGGAGCATCGCTGTTATCATCTTTGAAGAGGACTTTTGCATGTACCTGCAATATTCCAGAATGAACTGCCTCTTGGGCCAGAGAGACAGTCTTAGGCTGGGCAACCGAAGACGTCCCAGGAGACTGGTGACAGACTGCCGATACTAGGGAACCTTAATATCCCTCACCTTTGGAGACTGGAGAGCCAGTGAAATGAGGGTGTATCCAGGGAAACCCCTGAGAACACACAGGCACCCCAGTCCACTGGTGTTTTCTAGAGCAGAGTATCCCTTCAGTATGTCTGCATGTGCCGCAAGGTATCGATCCTTCAGACTGCAGGTGACAGACTCCTGGGCTGATTCTTTCCAACTCTGAGTAGCTTTGAGAATTGTCTGTTTCTCCCAGTGTGCTGACAGATGTTTTCTGCGTGTGTCATGATATGGAAACAGCTGGAAGTCCTTTCCTAGATGTAGTGATAGCATTTGTACTATGTAAGTGTGAGCTTGTTGGACATGGTGTATCAGCCTCGGGGAGCACTTCTGACCAGTAAAGCTCAGACCTCAGCCCCTGGCCTCTCTGATTTCTCGTGTGCTGAAGGCAGTGCCACATTACTGCCACTGCCCTTTGCCTCTTTATCCCTGTGTTCACTCTGCAGTCTCTCCCTATTACCGGACAAAGCTGCGTGGCCTCTACACAACTGCCAAGGCTGATGCAGAGGCTGAGTGCAAGTAAGTACCGCCCACTCTGCCTGCCATTCCCTCCCACATCCTCGCCCGGACACTGGCTGCCAGCGCCTATGAACCGCAGCCCCTGCCTGCCTTTCCCCCATGGATGAGTAGGTTCCTACTCTCCAGCCTCCCCTTTGGGTCCCACCTTCCCAAAAACCTACTCCTAGCACCCCATGTCCCCTTGGCCCTGCTGCATTACAGATGGCAGCAAGGCGTGGGTCAGATCTATCCCAGCTCTGCCATTTACTAGTCACATGACCTGAAGCAGTCACTTCAGCTGAGACTCGGTTGCTCCGTCATTAAAGTGGGATAATGGGATAATAAAAACCAAAAACCAAACATACTGCTCTTGAGTCAATTCCAGCTCATAGCGACCCTACTGGACAAGAATAGAGCTGCCCCATGGGTTTCCAAGGCTGTAATCTTTCTGGAAGCAGACTGCCACATCTTTCTCCTGCGGAGCGGCTGGTGTGTTCAAACCGCTGATCTTTTGGTTAGCAGCCAAGCACTTAAACCACTGCGCCACCAGGGCTCCATAATGGGATAATAGCTACCTAAGAAACAACCACCCCCTTGCCATTGAGTCTGTTCTGACTCACAGTGACCCTATAGGACGGAATAGAACTGCCCCATAGGGTTTCCAGGGAACAGCTGGTGAATTTAAACTGCCAACCTTTTGGTTAGCAGCCAAGCTCCTAACCACTGCACCACCAGGGCTCCTAATAGCTTCCTACAGGAGTGTAAACATAAAATAGTGTCTGCCATTCTACCATGCCTAGAAAGTGCCTAATACCAGTGTTTTTCAAACTCTTTTGACCATGACCCATGCTAAGAAATGCATTCTCTATTGTAGCTCAGTAATAGTAATAACTGACTCCTATGTGGCACTTCCTGTGTGCCAGGTACTATTCTCAGCACTTTATATATTTACCTTATTTAACCCTCACAGCAACCCTGTGCGGCAGGTTGTGATACTACCCCCATTTTACAGATGAGGAAACTGAGGCATGAGGGGGGTTATGTAATCTCCCAAAAGTTACTTAAATAAGTGGGGAGCCTGATTTTAAACCTAAAGCCCATATTCTTAAAATACCAAGCTACCATGCCTTTCTGCAGCATACCTTTATTTTATATGTATATGTATCACAGAATTGGAGCAAGAGTTTTGCAGTACAATTCTTACTGTTACCCTGTATACTCTATTCTGTTTTATTTTTTTAAATGCTAGTTTTTACCCAAGAAATTAATTTCATAACTCACTAATGAATTGCAACTTGCAGTTCAAATAACTGCCTTCACATCTGTGGTGATGCCTAACATCCCTTCATTAGTAACGGCCATGGGGTTCTTTCTCTTCCCCCGACTCACTCTTTGCAGGCTCTGTCCTGTGCTCGAGGTCCCATATTTTCTTTACCTGCTGTAGCCATTCTGCCGACCTTTGCTGGTGCCCGGCCCACACCTGGCACCAGGCCTGCTCCATATAGAGATGTGAGTGTGGTTCCTGCAGAAAGGAGGGACAGGACAGTGTAGCTGGTGGGCCAGCAGAGATGTGACCCCCATGCCCGGGGATCTAGGATGGCTTCAGGGAAGGAGCAAGACCTGAGCTGGGATCACAGGCAGACGAGGCGAGGGCAGATAGCCCAGGCAGAGGGGACAGAGTGACAGCAGAGCATGTGCACATGGGGATGGGAATTAGTCCCCTACGGCTGGGGAATGGGAGGTCAGACCATGAAGGCCTACAACACAGTGAACTATCCTGAGGCCACAGGCTTCTGGCCCATCCTTCCCCACCCCATCTCCTCCCTGATTTGCAGATTTACAGTCTGGCCACAATCAGGCCCCTTCCCACTCTCCTGGCTCTGAGTGTGGATTGCATCAGTCAGAGTGAATCATGCTGATTTGAGAGTGTAGGTAAACTGTCCCTCCCAGCCCAACTGCTGGCCAAGGGAGCCACTGCGTCTGAAAGCAGCCCGGGGAGCTCTTCCTGGCATTGGTGGGCCCAGAGTTAAAGTGATTTTGGAGGACAATTTCTGGCATTGGTGGGCCCAGAGTCAAACATTTACAAGCCTGCTCCGTAAACAGTTCCCAACATCTTGCAATCCTGCATCATTTCAGTTCTTCACACTCAGACCTTCATACGTGCATTCAGAAAACACTGAGCACACCCTTGTCACAGCCAACCACTGGCCAGGAAAGGGAGAACACAAGATCAGCGAGAGGCAGTGCATGCGGGGAGCGCCACGTCTAGGTGGGAAGACACATTTGCTCCAGGGGAGGCACTCATGTAGGTGCTGTAACATGCAGCAGCTTGTTTTCTTAAGAGATTAATATGAGACTGTTAGGAAATCGAAGAGGCACCAAGAGCTGGCGTCAGGAACTGAGCTGAGCCGTGGGACTCGCTGTTCTATTACATGTGCCACAGCTTCTTGCCAGCTGGTTTTTCTTATGCTTTACTGAAAATGGGAAAGAATTCCTGTGACTTTATGTAACATCTCATTTTTTTAAAAGGCCTTGAGATGGCACACTGGCAGCAGGGGATCAAAGGGAGATAGGGTCAAAGATCTGGCATTCCATAGCAGAGTGGAGGATAGGTATCCCTCCCCCAGTGGAAACAAGTTTTCTAGTGTGCATCTGTGTAAGGGCATAGTAACCAGTATGACAAATGGTGTCCTCAGGGACCTTCTGCCACAGACAGCAGATAACAACCTCAGTAACTCCAAGGCAAAGCTAGGGAGGGCGGTTTTATTTATTTATAATTATTTGTTATTATATTTTAGATGAAGGTTTACAGAACTAGCTTCTCATTAAACAGTTGGTACACATATTGTTTTGTGACATTGGTTACCAACCCCGTGACATGTCAACACCCTCCCCTCTCGACCTTGGGTTCCCCATTACCAGCTTTCCTGTCTCCTCGTCCTTGCCCCTGGGCTGATGTGCCCCTTTAGTCTCAGTTTGTTTTATGGGCCTGTCTAGTCTTTGGCAGAAGGGTGAACCTCAGGAGTGACTTCATTACTGAGCTAAAAGGGTGTCCTTGGGGGTCAGACTCCCGGGGTTTCTCCAGTCTCTCTCAGGCCAGTAAGTCTGATCTTTTTTTGTGAGTTTGAATTTTGTTCTACATTTTTCTCCAGCTCGGCCCTGGACCCTCTATTGTGATCCCTGTCAGAACAGTTGGTGGTGGTAGCCAGGCACCATCTAGTTGTGCTGGACTCAGTCTGGTTGAGGTCATGGTAGTTGTGGTCCATTAGTCCTTTGGACTGATCTTTCCCTTGTGTCTTGATTTTCTTCATTCAGGGAAGGCAGTTTTATGAGTGTCTAAGCCAGTGCAGGCAGAGGTACAGGTCAGCTTTCCAAGGGCCCGAGTGACTCACAGGCTAAAGTAGTCAGCGCCTGGAGGAGAGAAAGCCCATCATAGCCCCTAGACCATCTTTCTGAGCCAGACATTGGGCCTGGACAGCCAACTGTTTGCCAGTAGGCGCCCACAGCATGGCTACTGTTCCATGTTGCTGACTGGAGGTAGTGCTTCGGCCTTGATTGAGTCTGTGACACGTCAGCTCAGAAGCCAGAGGGAAACTGGCCCCACCCCTGCCCCAAGCTACTTCTAGGTGGGCAAAGAAGCCATGTGCCTGGGAGACTAATGTGCATTACCTTATCGTTCTACTATGCCACCTCCTCCAGTGCAGCCTGGAGTCCAGAGGTGAGCAGAGGTGGACAAGTGCTGCTTCGGGCTCCTTCTGAATCAGAATCTACATTTTAACAAGATGTGTACATAAGAATCACCTGGGGATTCTGATTCAGTATATCTGGGACGTGGAAATGCAAATTCTCAGCAGGGGGTCGAAATGGAATTAACCGGTTTGAAGCCCTGGCTAGGGCTCTTGGCCAGACTTAAAAGCTGTCAGCTGGAAAGAAGCCCCACCTTAATTGTCCCAGATGCAGTGGGCCTCCTGGGTTGACACCATCCTGAGGGTTACTGCCAGGCTAATGGCTGCCTGTCAGACAGTAGGGACGCAAGCTTTGGCTGAGAGGTCACACCTTAAGTTTCAGTTCCAGAAAATTGCCACTTTCTGGTAAGTGGTCTCTGAATAGAAATGCAGTAACTAGGAAATAGAACATTACATTCCTCTCCTGGAAAGTCACAATGCAAACTAAAGTCTTAAAGGCTCTGATACGTTCTGCAATAATGATTTTATTTAATTCACTATTTCATAAACTCGTGTGGTTCTCAAGTCTGGCTGCACCCAGAGGTTGACTTAATTGGGGTGGAGCTCAGACATTGGTATTTTTTATTTTGCAATGATTTCTGACATACAGAAATATGATACTGTATCAAGTGTTTTGTCATTCTGTGTTATCGCAAACATGATGCCCCTTGACCCCTTGTTGTAATATTCTTTGGGGAGCTTCCTCAGGGTCTAGAGTAGGAAGCCTACCCTCTAGAAAGGAAGCCTGTTTGCTTCTGCCAGGTTTCTGGGGTCTCTGCCACTCTGGAGGAGTCCCTGGGTGCTGTAGATGGTTAGGCACTCAGCTGTTATCCAAAACGTTAACGGTTCGAAACCACCCAGAGGTGCCTCAGAAGAAAGCTACTTCCAAAAGGTCACAGCCATTGAAAACCCTATGGAACAGTTCTACTCTGAGACACGTGGGGTCACCATGAGTCAGAATGGACTCGTAGACAGCTGTTTTTGTGGGGTATTTTGGCCACTCTGGAACCTCCTTAAACTAAATTCACAGAAGTTTCCTGGGGTTGCAAGTCTATGCAAGTTGTCGGCCTTTTAGGGACAAGTCCACCCTCCCCCCAACCCTGCTGTGTGCCAAGACAGCTCTCCCTGCGGCGTCGTGCAGGGGATTCTCCTTTTACCTGTCCCACCTTGGGCAGAGCCAGGGTTTTAACTTCTGTCCACCTAGTCTCTAGAGGCTGTCACGACTGCAGCAATGTTTCCTCAGGATTTGTCAAATGCTCTTCGGGCAAAAGCATCTCTGTCAGCTTTGTACCCCTCTCTGGGATCCTGCTTCCTCTTAGGTTGTTCCTACCTTCCTTACTGCCTTGTCAGTTCTTTTATGCTTTTAAGACCAAAAAACACATATTTAGTGTTTATAGTTTTCAGCAGTACTAGAAAAGTCTACGCTGTATGCTTCAACCAGACCTTTGTCCTCCCTTTTTCCCACCTTCAGCATCCTCCGGAAAGCCCTAGATAAGATTGCTGAGATCAAGTCTCTGTTGGAAGAGAGGCGGATTGGTGAGTTGAAAGGACAAGTTCAGTGTTCCTTGACCAGGAGCAGTGAGGGTTCCTGTGGGCAGCAGTCATCTCTCCCTGCAGGGTGTTTGTAACCTCAGCCCGTGTCATCATTCCCAGGGGTTTCTGACCGGGGAGTGAGTGGGTCTGGGCAGCCTGGGACATGAGCGGAGATGGTTCCCAGCCTCTGGGAGGCAGGGTTCACTAGATCCCTCTGCAGACCAAGCAGATCCCGACTTTGCCCTCTCATGCTTCACTTCCCTCCTCCCCCAGCCCCCACTCCCATTTCTTGCCATGGGAGAATGTGGCTCGTTTTCGTGGAGCTACACCTAGGTGTCTTGAAGCTGGCCTTCCAGGTGGAGTCTACAGTGTGTGGCTTACCCAGATCCATCAGACTGCCAGTTCCTTGGCCTTCCCACCTCTCCCCCGCCCTTCAAATGAAACGCGGTGGGTGGAGACCTCACTCCTCAAAGATCTCACATTGCCAGATTGGTTTTGGATGAAGTTGACTGGGCAGCTGGGCCATGCCTTAGATTGTTAGGGACCCACATTTGATAGTTTCAACTTTGTTGAATTATGTTAATAGAAAAGTACACGTATGTGTACAGCTTAATAAATTTTTCAATAAGTAAACACAACCATGTAGCCAGCACCCAGATCCAGAAACCACAAGCCTTCCTTTTGCCCCCTTCTAGCCCCTTCCCGCTTCTGTTAGTTAAGCTTGGTAGTCCCTTTAGTCTTGAACATCTAGTGCCAGGGGCACAGATGGTGCTTGGGTCCTTGGGTGTTGACTCGGGAGGTGGGGGCTCCAAGCTGAGCCCCTGACAGCTCAACACAGGGGTGCTAGGAGGGTCTAGGGGCAGACCTATCTCCCTGCCTCAGAACGGGGCTCATTTCCTCCCACAGCGGCCAAGATCGCAGGCCTGTACAATGACTCTGAGCCACCTCGCAAGACCATGCGCAGAGGGGTGCTGATGACCTTGCTGCAGCAGTCAGCCATGACCCTGCCTCTGTGGATCGGGAAGCCTGGAGACAAGTGAGGGTGGGCCAGGGTGCATGGTGGGCACAGGAGGGGCTGGTGTCCAGGGGCTGGGTGAGACTAACAGTTTCCTCCACTCACAGGCCCCCACCCCTTTGTGGGGCCATTCCAGCCTCAGGGGACTATGTGGCCAAACCTGGAGACAAGGTGGCTGCCCGGGTGAAGGCCGTGGATGGGGATGAGCAGTGGATCCTGGCCGAGGTGGTCAGTTATAGCCATGCCACCAACAAGTGAGTGGACCGTTAGCTACTCTTGGCACCGCACCGCTTGGGCTGCCCTGTGTCACTGTCTGCAAAATGGGAGCAAAGCTTTCCTGAGGGTGCCGTGGGGGTGGTGGGTGAAGCGCTGGCTCCTGCGGCTACTCTACCTCTCCTTTCTTTCCTCCCCTCAGCACTCCCTGACCCGGACTGTGCTCTTCACCGCATCTGGTCTTTTCCTTTTGTTCTCCCGCAGGTATGAGGTAGATGACATTGATGAAGAAGGCAAGGAGTGAGTGTCTGGGCCAGGGAGGAGCAACAGAAGCCTGGGACGCAGCCAGGCTGCTGGGGAGTAGTCCTCCTATCTGGCTATGGGTTGACACAAGGCTCCCCCTCCAGGAGACACACCCTGAGTCGGCGTCGCATCATCCCTCTGCCCCAGTGGAAGGCCAACCCTGAGACAGACCCTGAGGCCTTATTTCAGAAGGAACAGCTCGTGCTGGCCCTGTACCCCCAGACCACCTGCTTCTACCGTGCCCTGATCCACACGCCCCCACAGCGGGTAAGGGAGCCCCCGTGAAATCAGGACGTGGCTAACCACATGGGGCTGTGGGGTTGTCAGCTTTCCTTTTCTCCTCATCTTAGAGACTCTGAGCTAGAAGAGACCTGTGACTACTCCCCTTCGGCTTGGTCAGCTCTGTAGCACCCCCACAGCCCTGTCCTCTAGAGCTGGCCTTGCTCCTTCCAACCTTCAGCGCCATAGCAAGCCCAGAGCAAATGGGCCTGCTGCATCCTCTAGTCTAAGCTCGTTTTTGCATTTACAGTGAGACAGCCAAGCCCTGAGAAGGGAAGCGCAGTGTCCAGGGCCTGTCTTCAGATCTGGCTCCTGCACCACCGCCCTTTACTTATCTGAGGCTGCGTCCCCTGGTGCTGCTGCACCTGGGCCACACATTTACTGATGGCAGTGTGAAGGCTGTTCTCCCCTCTCCCCTCAGGATCCCTGCCTGATGCTCTCTGGGCTGTCCTTGATCCCCTTAACATAGTGTCAGGGCCCAAGAGTGTCCAGTGATGGCCTGACCACATAGGTCATGCGTCCCCTTCCTCTCCCTGCTCTTTGTCCCTTGCCCTTGGCCCTTTGTTATGAGAAAGGAGCTTGCAGCAGCAGCGACTGGGGTCAAACATCTAGGCTTCTTGGCTCTAAAGAGTGAAAGAGGAGGACGGGGAGGCTGGGAGCACATGGACCAGAGGTTCCTGGCACTCTAGGTTGGGGAGGTAGGATCGGAGATGGGGAAGACTCACCTGGGAGTCTCTGACCAGCCCCTCGTGTCTGCCTCCTGCTGCAGCCCCAGGATGACTATTCGGTCCTGTTTGAAGACACCTCCTATGCAGACGGTTACTCCCCTCCCCTCAATGTGGCCCAGAGGTATGTGGTGGCTTGTAAGGAGCCCAAGAAAAAGTGAAGCAGGTTGGCAGACTCACAGTCTCCTACCACTTTTCGGGGGAAGACAACAAAAGATTCTCTGTGATCAAATAAATATTCTTTCCCCATTACCTGCATCCGTCGCCTGGCTTTCAAGTCTCCTGACCCTCTTCCCCTTTCCAAACAGGGCAAGTTGGAGAACTTGAGGCTGCAGGGGGAGATGGCTTTATTCTCCCAATGGGCATTTACTCTCTTTGTTTCCAACAGAGGCTCTCCGTTTAACACAAACCATATTTTATCCTTGAGGCCACACCAGCCTTGTTTTACACCACTCCCCTGTTAACACCTCTCACAGGTGTGAACGGAAATTGAGGGGTGAGCCTGCCATCTTCTCAGCATAGTGGATGTCAAAGCGCTCGTTCTGGGCCACAGTGAAGGTATTTTTCCAGTCCCCCGTGGTGCCTGAGGGAGGGAGGGAGTGAGGCTGGAGGTCCCGGCTGCAGCAGAGGCCCCAGATGGCTCAGGTCTGGCTCTAGCTGCTGCTTCCACCCTCCCCTCCATGAATACCCACCCCAGACTGGCACTCACCTTTCCTCATGAAGGCAGAAATGCCATGGTCCATGATTTCAAGGGGCAAAGTGCTGTAGTTAGTCATGGGATTCTTCTTCATCTCCTTGAAAGACGTACGTTGGACGATGTGATCTACAGTCTCCTCAGGGAGGGAGTGCCCCAGAAACTCCAAGATCTTCTTAACCTCCCTTTTGGGGTCCTGGAGCAGCAGAGGGGCTTTTCAGTGGAGGTTTGGATTGCTTGTTGAGCAAACAGAAATGGAGCTGCTCTCTAACATCCAGGAGATCTGGCCATTTCTGCTTAACAACCTCTCAGAGCCAGCTCCTTGACTCTGGTCCTCTTTCCGTGGGGCAAAAGTTGCTTTCTATCCTGTGATCCTGCAGTAAGCCATGTTTGGTTACTTACGGGTGAGAGCAGCGGCAGTCCTCTCTCGTAACTGTGGCCCTGGAGCTTGGCCCAGCACTTGGCAAGTACTGGGAGAAGCAACAGCAGTAAATAGCTGATGGACAATTGAACATGCAGCTAACTCAGGCACTAGGAGATAAGAGCTGTACAAAATACTGCTGCCAAGGAGACGGCGCAGCCCACCTGGAGGGGGTGGGTATGCTAAGTCCTGGGCGAGGAAGGCTGGATGAGGGGTCCAGGAGCCATAATAGGGGAGGAGGGCTGAGAAGGGCTTGGCAGGTCCCCGTGGGGTTCTTGCCTTCCGAGGTGTGACATAGAGGGAAGCAGGTGGTCTCACCTCCATCATGTCCTCATAGAAGAGATAGAGAACAGGGTGGGTGTGACTCAGCTCCCACCATTCCTGCACGTGGTGGTACCAGGACCCATAGGACACTGGGGAAAGGGCACCAATAGAGAGGTGGTTAGCTTCAGCTGGCTGCCTCTCAGTCCCCTGCCCCCAGTCCCCTTCCTCTACAGCCAGGCCCACCTTCCCCAGCCATGAACTTCTCCAGGAAGCTGTCCCAGGTGCCAGGATCAGGGTGCACTTTGGCCATGTGGTAGAAGTGGTAATAGGAGACAGCCACGTCCTTTGCATTGCGGGCAACATAGATCACCTGGATGGGCAGATGACCACCCCTGGTGCCATTATCACCCAGCACGCCAGGTCCTTCTGCCACCTTTCAGCCCCTGCGAGGGAATCGTCTCAGGAAGCTGAAGCTCAGAGGTTGGCCTACTTGAATGAGTACAACTGCAACTGTGCTGAGATCTGATGTCAGAGTCCTAGCTGGTTCCTGGAAAGATATCCTGTACTACTCTTAATTCCAGTCAACACCCCTATACTCAGATTTGGAGCAAGGGGTGCGGGTATCCCCTCCAGTCCCCTCCAGGGCCTGTGAGCACCGCTACTCTGTTTCTCTAGGGTCTGCACTGGGGAAGGGTCTCACTTTCCTGGGTTGTCTGACCCCTACCAGAGCATGAGACAGATGGCTACCCCCTTAAGATAAGACAAGGCTCAGGGAAGTTGGGAGACCTTCCCAGAGAAACAGGGCCAGGGCTGGGATGGCCCCAGCAGCCTCCTTCCCTGTCTTCCTCTGCCACTTACCTTGACCTTCTGATCCAGCAGAGACTGGGGGAGCAGGGCCAGAGGCAAGTGCGTCTTGAGGATCCGGGGAGCTGGTATATCCTTCAGGGACTCAAGACCTAAGCCACGGGTAGGGAAAGGTCCACTGAACTGGAGCCCTGGTCCTCTTCCTTCCACTTGCCTCAAGTACCCACCCACGTACCTGAGGGAACCCCCGGGGCCTTGAACTCGAGGAAGGGCACCCGGATGAAGATTGGGTCCCGGCTACACTTGTCTGGATCGCCACCCTGGTAGATCATGTCCAGGATCTCGCTCACCCAGGTGGTACCTGCAGAGGGAGGAAGAGCATGCCCCTGCTGGCCTAGGTTGGGGACTGCAGCAGGGAGAAGTGGGGGGATGACCCTTATCACCTACCAGATTTCGGGTAGGTGCTGACAAGCAGATCATCGGGCCAGGCTTGGAAGTCCTGTAGTGGCCCCAGCGCCTCTGCAAAGTACTTGATGAGTGGGACATCCTTCACATACTCCAGGGGCTGGCGGAGGTCGCCTTGAAGTAGTTCCATGCTACCAAGTCAGGGGCCAGCGATATAGCCCACTTCCCTGGGTAGCAACACAACAATGGCATGTGCTGAATTCTTGCTTTATTTTAAAATAAGGACTGTCGTAGTTATCTAGTGCTGCTATTAACAGAAATACCACAAGTGGATGGCTTTAACAAACAGAAGTTTATTCTCTCACAGTCTAGGAGGCTGGAAGTCCGAATTCAGGTGCCAACTCCAGGGGAAGGCTTTCTCTGTCAGTTCTGGGGGAAGGTCCTTGTCATTAGATCTTCCCCTGGTCTAGGACCTTCTCAGCGCAGGAACCCAGGGTCCAAAGGACACACTGCTCCCAGTGCTGTTTTTTTTTTGTGGTAGGAGGTCCCCGTCTCTCTGCTCACTTCTCTTTTATATCTCAAGAGATTGAGTCCCGCCTCATTAACATAACTGCCTCTACTCCTGCCTCATTAACATCTTAGAGGTAGGATTTACAACACATAGGAAAATCACATCAGGTGACAAAATGGTGGACAATCATACAATACTGGGAATCATGGCCTCGCCAAGTTGACACATATTTAGGGGGGGGCACAATTCAATCCAGGACAAGGATGATGAGGCGTAGAGAGGTTGAGCAACTTGTCCAAGCTCACAAAAGTAATAAGTGGTGGTGGTTGTTAGGTGCCATCAATTCGGTTCCAACTCATAGCGACCCTATAGGACAGGGTAGAACTGCCCCACAGGGTTTACAAGGAGCAGCTGGTGGATTTGAACTGCTGACCTTTTGGTTAGCAGCCGAGCTCTTAACCACTATGGCACCATGGCTCCAGTAAGTCGTGGAGCTGGATCTAACTCTAGTGTAGTGTTTTACAACCGTGGCTGCACATTTGATCCACCCGAAGAGCTCTGAAAAATCCCAGTGCCTGGGCCACACCCAATTAAGTCTCTCTCCCAGTGTGGGAAAGGAGCCCTGGTGGTACAGTGGTTAAACGCTCAGCAGCTAACTGAAAGGTCAGCAGTTCAAATCCACCAGGTGAACCCCAGGAGAAAGATGCAGCAGTCTGCTTCTGTAAAGATCACAGCCTTGGAAACCCCATGGGGCAGTTCTACTCTGTCCTATACAGTTGCTATCCATTGGAATCGACTCAACAGCAGTGGGTTTGGGTTTCTGGGTGTGGAGCCCAAGTGT